AGAGTTTAATTTCTATTGTTTGCCCACTCAAGGTTTATAGGGATTTTAAGAAGTATTTAGTTAAATTACTTATTTAGTAATTAAGTTGCTTATCTAATTACTGTGTCAGAAAGGTATTTTAAATACAATATTGACTAAGTAATTAGTAATTCATTACTTTTTAAAGTAACTTACCCAACACTGCAGAGGACTAGAGAGGCAAGGCTTCACTTGCGACACGTGAAAGGTGTTATGGATTTTCATATTCCGGGGCAGTTTAAGACGGACAGAAACGGGGTTAATCACAGAGTCGACTTCAAAGGGACCGATGAAAGTGGGAGACAGTTTCTTGGATTCAGACCTGAGTGGGATGAATCTGGTAGACAGCCAAACCTTTTGTCCAGGTGTGTAGGTGGGAGCAGGGGTCCGGTGGCGATCTGCTGGGTGCTTGTTGCGTTCTACTGTGCGGAGAAGGGCGGCCCGAGATGCTTTCCAGGCGCGCTGACACCTCCGAAGATGCTGTTGGACAGAGGGAACAAAGTGCTCACCTTCGACGGCTGGGAAGAGTGGTGGTTGATAGCCCAGGGACACCTTGAAAGGGGACACACCGGTGGCAGAGGAGGTAAGGCTGTTATGAGCATACTCAATCCATGGCAGTTGCTCGCTCCAAGTTGACTGGTTAGTGGACACCAGGCACCGGAGAGCTGCTTCAAGCTCCTGGTTGGCACGCTCCGTTTGACCATTGGTCTGTGGGTGGAAACCAGAGGAGAGACTGACCTGAGCTCTGAGGGCACTGCAGAACTCCTTCCAGACACGTGACATAAACTGCGGTCCTCTGTCTGACACAATGTCCGAGGGGATTCCATGGAGGCGAAAAACATGGTTAGTTAGTAGCCGGGCGGTCTCTAGAGCAGTGGGAAGCTTAGGGAGGGCGACAAAATGAGCAGCTTTGGAGAAACAGTCCACAATGGTGAGAATGACAGAGTTACCCGACGAGACGGGCAGACCTGTGATGAAGTCAATAGCGATGTGTGACCAGGGGCGGCTTGGAGTCGGCAGAGGTTGGAGGAGGCCAGAGGGTGGTTGATGGACGCTCTTGTTTTGAGCGCAGGTCGAGCATTCGGAAATATGCTCGCGGACATCTTTAGCGAGGGAAGGCCACCAGGCGAAACATTGAAGGAAGGTAATAGTGTGGTGGACCCCCGGCTGGCAGGTGAATCTGGCAGTATGAGCCCAATGTAACACTTGTGACCTTACTGAGGAGGGTACGAAGAGCAAGCCTGGAGGTCCCGTTCCGGGGTCTGGTTCTGTCCGTTGAGCCTCTCCAATAGCCGACTCGAACTCCCAGGTCAGGGCCCCAATTACACAGGTGGGCGGTAGAATGGGAGAGTCCCAAGCTGCATTTTCGGAGGCCACGAATTGGCATGAGAGGGCGTCTGGCTTGACATTACGGGAACCGGGTCTGTAAGTGATTGTGAACTGGAATCTAGTAAAAAACAGGGCCCACCTGGCTTGCCTGGCGTTGAGGCGCTTTGCCGATCGAATGTACTCCAGGTTCTTGTGATTGGTCCAGACCACAAACGGCTGGGCAGCTCCTCCAGAGCTAGTTTGATGGCTAGTAGCTCTCGGTCTCCCACATCATAGTTGCTCTCTGCGGAGGTGAGACGGCGTGAAAAGTAGGCACAGGGGTGAAGCTTACCACCTTGCTGCTGGGAAAGCACCGCTCCCACTCCAGCGTCCGAGGCATCCACCTCTACAACAAACTGCAGGTTGAGGTCGGGTTGGACGAGAATGGGCGCCGAGGCAAAGCGGTCCTTCAGATGAGCTAATGCTTGTTGAGCCGGTTCATCCCAGCAGAAGGGAACCTTGGGAGAAGTGAGACGGGTCAGAGGCAGGGCAAGTTTACTGTAGTCGCGAATAAAGCGACGATAGAAGTTCGTGAACCCCAGAAAGCTTTGAAGCTTTTTACGGTTAGAGGGGGTCGGCCATTCAACAACGGCTTGAACCTTCGCGGGATCAGTTTTGAGGTTACCTTGGTCGATGATGTGGCCCAGGAAGGAAACAGTTGAGACATGAAACTCACACTTCTCCCCTTTAACAAAGAGACGATTCTCAAGGAGATGCTGAAAGACTTGCCTGACATGGCGTTGGTGTTCGGTGATGGAGCGGGAGAAGATGAGGATGTCATCCAAGTAGACGAAAACAAAGTGGTCAATGAAATCCCGGAGAACGTCGTTCACGAGAGCCTGAAACCTAGCTGGTGCATTGGTGAGACCAAAAGGCATTACAAGATATTCGAAATGGCCCAGGTGAGTATTGAAAGCCGTTTTCCACTCATCCCCCTCCCTTATTCTCACCAGATGGTAGGCGTTGCACAGGTCCAGCTTTGAGAAGATAGTGGCCCCCTGGAGAAGCTCGAACGCGGGGAGTGGTGCGCTTGGGAGGAGTCATACGGCCGGTGAGGGGGGAAAGGAGCATGCCTTATCCTTACAAAACACCTGTGCCAGGTCGTGATAAACAGACGGCACAGAGGACAGATCTGGCAGTTCGGAGATCGCTGAATTGGTTGGTGGGTTCATGGCGGGGTTGGCGGCTTTTAAACAGGACATGTGACACTCTTCCCCCCACCCCAAAATACTTTCTTTCCTCCAATCGATCATAGGGTT